TTTGATTTAGATGGCATGGTCTTTAATAGTTCTCACTAACAAAGTAGGTTAAGTGGATGTTTCACATTCAAAATCTCATTGGATTCTTACAGTGTTGCTATGAAACAGGTAGGACAAATTTTTTGTTTGTTTTTTTGTTTTTTTCGGTAGGACAAATTTTATTTTCCACTATTAACACACAAGAAAATGAGTTCAGCAATAGTACACTGCTAGAGATCACAGTGAATAGATGGCAAAATTAGAAGCTGAAGCCACGTTTTCCAAATTCCACCCTCATCTTCAAGTCCCCCAGCCCAGCCACAACCTCCAAACTTCAGGACTGATGTGCTTAGTTCTTTTTTTATATACACTTTTTTTTAAGTTGATATGTTGTATTTTTATTTTTATTCAGGTCAAGAATTTTTTTTGGCAGAGCAGCATGCAGGATCTTAGTTCCCCAGCCAGGGAACTGAACCACTGGACTAGAGGGAAATCCAATGCTTAGTTCTTAAATTACTGTCCCAGCTGGGACCTGCTATTCCCTTTCATTTCAGCCAGACATGATCAGAGAAATCCATAGGAATATTTAATTAGAAATTTTTTTTAAAGACAGAAACAAAGATATGAAAACAACAAACTTGTTTGAAAGTAGGTTTGGCTCACAGGTTGGTGAAACGGTAGATAGTCTCTAGAGCCAGAGATCTCCTTTATCTCTTCCCTGGCCAAGAAGGCAACTGCCTGTCCTCAGGTAAGCTATTTCTGGTATTTCTTTTCCCCTGGAGGAGAGGTTAAACTGAATCTCCAGCCACTGTGTTACTGAGTAATCCATGGAAAGATGAAAGCATTACCTTCACCAGAGTTGTGTATCACATCACTAACTCTTGTTCATATCCATCCAACAGCTTTCATCCCCTCCTGAAAAAGGTATGGGAACACATTCCAAAGACATCCTATAGGAACTTCCTACAGCCACATACTCCAACAGACAAAAGAGTTCTCAGGATGGGGAATATGCAGCATCTGAACTTGTCAACTAAGTAGATGAAGCACCTTTTCCACATTTCAATTAAAAAAAAAAAAACAAAACCTTTTCCCCATTCCATTCCCAAACTGGATTTCACAGGACAATGCAGAGGTCTCAAGTTGCTGGCAAATCTTTGATGTATGAAACAGAGATCTCTCCTAACATATCCCAAGAAGTCTAGATATTTTTCTGCAGATTAATCCATTTTTATGCAGAAAGAAACCAAGAGGGACAATGTAAAGTGACAGTTAAGTGCTTGAGCTCTGAAACCAAACTGATCTGGAACTGAGTTCCTGCTCTGTTGGCAGCACGACTCTGGCCAAGTTATCTAATCTCCCTGAGATTCTGCGTCTCCATCTACTTAAAAGATAGCAATCACTGGCAATGATAGAGCACTTACTATGTGCTAGGAACTAGGTATGCTAAGTTTTACATGCTCTATATACATTAATCCTTATTAAGGCCCTGTGAAGCAGGTATGACTCTCACTCTTCTTAGGTAAGAAAATTGAAGCACCAAGAGGTTAAACAGTTTGCCAGAGATTATATGACTTTAAGTGGGGAAATCAGGATGCAAACACAAGCAGTCTGACTCCCACACCCATGCTTTGTATCACTAGTGATTATATCCAAGTGATTCTATAAGGATTAAATGAACTCCGGTAAATCAGATCCCCTGCCTAGTACCTGGCACATAAACAAGCCTTAAGTAAATGTTACCTGTAATTTTAGCACTATCATTTGTTCCAAGAGATATCTGGGCCAGAAAACAGGTTTTGACATAGGATATTTTGCATCTATTCCAGTTAACTGCCCTGAGATACGTGTCCTGAAATCGAATTGACAGGTCTCTGCTATTACCTAAACCATCTGTATGTTATAGGTTACCTGGTTAAGAGATAGGCTAAATGGTTGACAACTTTTTCCATTTGCCCAAAGTATTAAGTATTGTCTCTTATAAAAGAATGGCATACTGATCAACAGCTAGCATACTTGCAGGAAGTACTCTGCTTATAAATGGGTTGTGTTTCAAAAGCTGACTTATCTATTGTTATAAACTCTGAATAAGTAGACAAAAGGTTGAAAATGGTGGTTACCTTCCAAGACTATTCACAGAAATCTATTTATTTAGCCCCCTTTAAAGTTCAACGATAGAAATCATGCCACTAACTCAAGGTAGGCCTAGGAACAAGAGTCCATGTGATAAAAGAATAAGAGAGGTGTCTTTTCTGGAACAGACGAAAGTTGATATTGACTATATTAGTCATCTACTGCTGTGTAACACCTTACCCCAAAACTTACCATATTTTAGCTCTTCCCAACAAAGTTTACTGTAAATATCAAAAACAAACAAACAAAACACATGCTCTTGCCTCATCTTGTTTTTAAAAATATCAATCTCCATTCCTTAATGGAATCTCATTTGCAAAATTTTTATTAAAGAGTGATCACATTCCTGAAATACTTTATTCATTTGTTATTTCTCATTAGTAGGATTTCAGGCAATATAACAAACTAAAAGTACTAACAGCAAATAAACTATTCCCAATCTGGATGGATTAATATTGGAATTAAGGAAGCAACCTTCAGGAAAATTTCTTCCTTCTGTTGATAATGACCAGAGTCCCCTGGTTATTAAATACTCTGGGTCTAGGGAACTAGGGGATCGCTAACCCAGTTTTCCTAACCTGACTCCCATGACTGCAGTTCTGTAGGAATATCGTGGGCATTCAAAGGTGAGTTGCACCTGAGACATGCAAGATTCTAAAGTGTCATCTGGATCTTCAGAGAAAAATGATGTTTCATATGACTTTTTATTGTATTATTGTATTTTCTGTAACTTAAAATGTGGTAATTCATATAGATTGTTGTTAAAATATGTTTATAAACACTGGATTAATGGGAGTTTGCACTACAATTCAACTCCAAGCAGAAGCTAGGGTCTTGATCTGTGAGTTCTCCTAACAGTGCTGTTGTTTTCATCTTATTTGAGTTTGAACCCCATTTGAGAATGTGATGAAGGCTAACAGACTTACTCAAGAAAATACATATACCCACAAAATTTTGCATGTAGTTTTAAGGCCTCCAAATCCCCTAAGACTCATCCAGAGAATCGCCAGAGAAGCAGGAGGTGGGGCTTATTGTCATTTCATTTTGTCATTAAAATTAGATCTAAATTAGAAGCTACCACTAAAAACTTAATTCTTTTTAAACCTTGTTGTTAAATAAAATCAACAGCCAGTACAAATACTTCTACAGTAAGTTTCCTACTTACAAACGAATTCCATTCTGGGAGCACGTTTGCAGGTCCAATTTGTTCCAACCAAGTTAGCCTAGGTACCCAACTAAGACAATGGGCTCTATAATACTGTACTGTAATAGGTTTATAATACTTCATAATACTTTTTACACAATGCATAAAAACAAACACAAAAATAAACATTTTTAATCTTATAGTACCTTGAAAAGTACAGTAGTACAGTACACAGCTGGCATACCAGGGTTGGCACTGAGTGAACAGGCAAGAAGAGTTACTGGCTGGAGGGAGAGGAGGTGGGAGCTGATAGCGCTGAAGCAACAGGAGACGGGAGGGCAAACTGTAATTTCACTCACACCTGACATTAAGGGCACAGGTTCTGATTCCTTGCTGGATTCAAGTTTATCTACATTCTTGAAAAAAAAAAAAAGATCCAGTGCTGTCTGGGTAGTACTATAAACCAGCTACATCACTGCTGCTGTTAAGTTTGCTTCCGGACATCCTGAGCTTAAAATAAAGATACTGGAGTACTATACTCTATATAGTATTGTACAGTAAAGTACACAAAAGCGCAACCACTTGTAGAGGATGCACATATATGATAATATATGCCAGACACGTGAACTAACCTATGTGGTTAGGCGGGGGAAAGCATGGAAAGCATGTTCGCATCTTTGAAAGTTCACGCCTTTGACCGGTCACAACTTGAAGGCTGGTATGTAGGGGACTTACCTCCTGTGCCTGGGTTTAGTCCATACTGTAAATACCTTGGCGGCAAAAGGAACCTGATAGGGAGCACACAGATAACACATACTTGCTGAAAAACAACAGTAAATATAAAGCAGGACACTGAACTGCTTACGACCACAAGCCTTGCCCTCTCCAAGCTGATCTGACTGTGCAGCAAATTTTGCCAACTTGCCAGAGAGGCAACAACTCTAATGGCAGAAAAGCTGCTCAACTTAGCAAGAAAGGGTTACATTCTCATGTCGCCAAGCATCCGAAACTCAGATCTCAATCAAAGATTCTCTAGGCCGTCCTTCAGCGGAGCGAACTCCCGGCAGCAACGCCCAACCTCGGGTGGGCGGGACCGTAGAAATCTACCCACTTAACCCGAGGACTCCAGCTCCATCCGACCCGGCCTCCCAGCCTAGCGCAGTGGAGAGCCGGGTGAGGGGCGGGGGACGCGGCGCGCGCCCCTGGCCTGCCCCGCCCCTCGCGTGCGCCTCAGCCCGGCGCGCCAGGCCTGCGTGTCCTCGCGCCCACCCCTCCCTGGCGCGGCTCGCCCGCCGCCGCTCCAGCGCACGCGCGCGGCTTCGCGCAGGGCGGGGAGAGGCGGCGGCCGCGGGCGCCCGGCCCCGAACCTGTCAGACTCGGGAAGCCGGCCTGGAGCGGCGGGCGCTGCAGGCTCGAGGACCGCCCCGCTCCTTCGCGGCCCCGGGCCGAGATGTGCGAACCGGCCCCGCGGAGCCGGCCGGGGGAGGGGAGATGAGCGGCGGCCCGGCAGCGGCACCCCAGGTAGAGCGCTGCCCCCTTTCGGAGCCCCGGCGCCCCCCGCCGCCCGGGGCTTCGGAACTTGTGGGCTCTGTCGGGCCGCCTATAATTTATAATGTTTCGTTTCCTGCAGGATGAGGAGGGACGCGCCGCAGTGCCCCTGGGAACTGGCTCTCCAGTGAAGTAGGAGTCGCCGGCCGGCCGCCTGCACCCAGCCGCTCGGCGCCGCGGCCGCTTAGCCAGTGCCATGGCCGGATCCGGCGCGTGGAAGCGCCTCAAATCAATGCTGAGGAAGGATGATGCGCCGCTGTTCTTAAATGACACCAGCGCCTTTGACTTCTCGGACGAGGTGGGCGAGGAGGGGCTTTCTCGGTTTAACAAACTTCGAGTTGTGGTGGCCGACGACGGTTCCGAAACCCCGGAAAGGCCTGCTAACGGGGCGCACTCGGCTCTCCAGGCCGACGATGACTCCTTGCTGGACCATGACTTACCTTTGACCAACAGTCAGCTGAGTTTGAAGACGGACCCCTGTGACAACTGCAGCAAGCAGAGAGAGTTGTTGAAACAGAGAAAGGTGAAAACCAGATTGACCATTGCTGCCGTTCTTTACTTGCTTTTCATGATTGGAGAGCTTGTAGGTGAGTTGTGTTGCCAACTCACTTTCCACTTACCTTGCCTATTGCTTTGGGGTTTAAACTTGCTTTTTAGGAAGCTTGTTATTTATCAAGATACTGATCTGGTGATGTGACGAGGCCTCACAAACTGCAGATCAGCCTAGGTACAACATAAACTTCCAAAGATAACTTTGACATTTTCTAGTTCTCTGAACACTGTGTCATCTACTGTTAAAGTTAAGGACATTATCTTCATTATATACCACGTAACTTCCTGTTTCAGAAAAAACTGATAAAACACTAGGTTAATTTTTGCAACGTTTAAAATAGTAAATGATTCTAAAATTACTTAGAAAAATAACATTTTACTATATGAAGGGACCTTACTGAACACCTGCTCCACCTTTTTTAAGAGATCTGAGGGCACAGAGGTTAAATAACTTATGAGGACACTTAAGTAAGTGAAGATCTATGTCCCATTGTCTTGATTTTGTTTCCCTCTACAATTGAATTTAGTGGTTGTTCACTATTTCCTTTTGTATTTACATCCAGGAAATTTGCATAGCTAAATACTACTACTGCTAAGTCACTTCAGTCGTGTCCGACTCTGTGCAACCCCATCCCTGGGATTCTCCAGGCAAGAACACTGGAGTGGGTTGCCATTTCCTTCTCCAACAAATACCACTAACTAACCTCAAAGTTTTTCATTTTAAGGAGGATCTGAAAGCCAGAGGTCTTCCCCAGATTTTATGAATTTGGCTTTTTCATTTTTTAATTATTCAAGTAATGCAGTTTTACTATAAAGTACATTCTCCATTCAGAGATTAATTTCAGAGTCACTTTAGTGTAACTGCTAACTTCTCTAAGTGATAATTGATAAAGTGACATTAAAGAAAGGACATTATTCTCCTGTGTTCTCCTTTTTTATATTTTGCCACGCCCTGGAGCTTGTGGGATCTTAGTTCCTGGACCAGGGGCTGAAATTCTGAGGTAGTCCTAACCACTGGACTGCCGGGGAATTCCCTCCTGTGTTCGCTTAATGATGAACCGTGATGAAAACAGAGGAAGCTGTCTGGATTTAAGATGTTGGCTGGAGGTTATGTGAGGAAAAATTATGTACATTTCCTAACTTGTTTCATGCCACTCCTCCCCAGTGCTCACTTCAGCCTTTCTAGCCTTCTTTCTCCCTTTAACTCACAAAGCTCTATTCCTGCCCATAATGCCTTCAAAGACTGGCCCCTCTAAGTCAGTGGCTTTCACACTTTTTTGATCTCACTGTAGTAAGATACGTGCTTAACATAGTGACCTGTGTAGGCATGCATGCATACATCTGTAAGTATGTTCAGACACATACACATATGTATAAATGTATGTATAACTAAAACAAAAGTTGCACATCATGTGATGTGTTCTACTGTTTTTTCAATTATGGTCCAGCCCATAATTGATTTCATGGTCTATAAATGGGTCACAGCCCGCAATTTGAAAAACACAGCTTTATATGGACTGCCTTTTCCCAAAACATTCTTGGATGACTTCTTGTCATTCATGTCTCATCTCAAAAGATACCTCTTGGAGACCTTTCTGACTGACTATAGGTCTCTTCTCCCCTGTTCCTTCCCCCACTTTAAAAGCCCTCAGACTATCTTGCTCGTATATTCACTTGTTTAATATCAGTGTCCACTGAAATATAAGCTCAGTTACCAGCACACAACACAATGACTAGCAAAGAGCATACATCTAATAAATTTTTGTTTAATTAATAATTACTGTTTGAGAATTATAAATGTTTACACTGTAAAGAAAGGAGTGGAAGCTGAGATCAGATAAGGTATGACCTTAGCAGACTGAGTCAATGATGCCCAAATTCACATGAATATGGAGTCATTCAGTTAATATTTAATATTTGAAGTTAAGTCACATTTAATCACAATTTCTCCCCTTAAAATTAGAGTTTACACCTATAAGAATTACTAGGATATAATTGCCCTGACTTACCATTTTTTAAGTCTCTTACTTGGTAAATGATGTTTTGCAAAAGCTACACTAAGTGTTTCTTTTCAAATACTAACTTAATATTCAGGTATGAAAATCTTGTCAAACACTGTAGAGATGCTAGTACTTAGAATAGACATTAACAGTATTATTCAGAATGTTACATAGAATTGTATACAGTAGAGCATTTATTATAATGTGTCAAAAGCACTTAGAAATAAATCATCTTATGTAGAAAGTATGGAGTAATTTTTAAAATGAAATAATTTAAAAATCTGAAAGAGGAGACTTGATTTGAATCTTGGGTTTGCTCTGAGACATTAGGCAAGGTCAGTTCTTTCCATTCAGCAAGTATTTCTTGGTATACTTACTGTGTACCAGGCAGTGTGCTGTGGTGTTCCAGATATACAATGGAGAACAAAACTATTATGATCCCTACTATCTAAAACATTTAATCTAATGTTTGGAGGACATTATGTCCTCCTGTAATGGAGGACACAGATGTTACACATGCAAGTAAATTTAAAATGCAAATGGTTTTAAGTACTGTGAAGAAAAAGAACAAGATACTATAGTACATAGTAATCAATAGGACATGGTTTATGTATGAGCCAGATACAGTTAAACCAAAAAAGAATATTAGGAGCTATTTAAGAAAAGGGACTGGAGGAGGACTTTTTTTTCAAGCAAAGAGAACAGCAAGTTCAAAAGTCCTAAAACCAGCAGTTCTTTAAGAGGACCTAAAAAGACCAGTTTGGCCAGAATATAGTAAGTAAGAGGGAAAGAGGTAGGGGGCCCAGATCAAGTAGGTCCTGATAGACCATTTTAAATGAGTCTACTCTTTAATTCTAAGTACATCGGGGATCCAGTGATGGCTTCTGAGTAGAGACTGACATGATGGGATTTACTTTTTTAAAAGATAACTCTGACTCTTATATGGAGAGTAGATTGGCTGGTACAAGAGTAGAAGGAAGTATATTTTCACAGAAGTCCCAATAGGAAGTGATTATGACTTGAAATAGAGTGGATGGAGAAAAATACACTGGTTGAGAAACACTCTAGAGGTAACTGTGGCAAAACGGCTAATGAGTTGAATGTGAGAGTTGATGGGAAAGCAGTATCAGGAATGATTCTGAAATTTCGTCCCTAACCTGCTGAGTGTATGGAAATGTGTATCATTTATGAATCAGGGAAGGGAGAAAATACAGAAGAGGATTTAAGCATGGGCTCAAGGGTTGTGTTACACATGTTAAGTATTACAGGTATGTGCAATAGCCATGTAAAAATGTCTAGTGACCTATTATATGTAAGTCTGTCATTCAGAAGGGAGGTCAAGGTAGATGCCATAGGAATAGAAAAAATTATCCAGAGAGCTCAAGTCTTGAGGAACTACAACTTTAGAAGTTAGGCAGAAGGTAAACAAGTATCCCAGAACTGAAGAAAAGAGTTATTTCAAATTGGAAATAAATAAGTTAAAGCTTCTGAGAGGCCTAATAAGATGAGAACTAAAATATCCTTTGGATTTAGTAACAGTTATTGACTGCTCTAACAGCTGCGTGGGAATGAAAAAGATACATGTGTGTGTATACATATATACACACACACATACACATATATCTACATACATATATGGAATATATATATATTATCTCCACATAGATGGGGAAAACTGGAAAGGAGACAATAGCAACACAAACTAGAAAGGAATCACATAAAATAGGCCCAAGAAAGCCAATTCCTAAACAAGCAGTGGGGAAAACCAAGACCCAATCCAGTTTATACTAGTGTATCAGAAACACCTCGATAACTTGTTACACAAATTGCTGGACCAGAGTTCCTAATTAAGTAGTTCCGGGGTAGAATTTTCTAACAAGTTCCCAGGAGATGCTGATACTGCTGATCCTGAATACTACAATTGAGAACTGCACTAGAGAATACTAAGCAGGACTAGAATTGGTTGTATCAGGTACCCCTCTAAGTGGGTAAAGAGGAAGGCTAAAATAAGGAAAGCTTATGAAAACTTGTTTAAGAGCCAGTCAGATATAATAGTATAATAACAGAATAAGTATCCATAGAGATAAAATGAGATCATGAATCTACGAAACAAGAATAGGCTATTCTTAAAAAGAAATTCAGAGTAGAAAAAAAGACTTTGAATAATAAAAACATTAAAATATTTTTTAACTCCAAACAAATTAGAAGGTGAATTAAGATAGTCTCTTACAGAATAGAGCAGAGAGATAGAAGATCATGGGAGAAGAAAGGCAAGAAAACTAGTATATGAGTTCAAGTTCCAAATAATAGGGGTTTGGGGAACAGAGAAAGCATAAGAAAGAAATTATCAGTAACATAGTTTAAGAAATTTCCCCAGAACCAATGGGTATATAATTATAGACAGAGTCAATAAAAGCCCAGATTGGATGAAAATAATACCACACCAAGGTATGTCACTGTAAAATTTCAGAAGACTTATTTATTGCTTCAGGCAACTGGTGTGTTCAACAACTGTCTGTGATTGTTTTCGACAAACATTCACTGTGGTTTGCACCAGGGCCAAGTTCCAAGTCAAGTCAAATAAAAAGAACCTTGCAAGTATAGTCTCTGAGGGAATTACCAGAGAGGTCAAATAATGACAATTTCCTGGCGGTGGGGCTTTTAATGACCTTTAACTCCATCGAGGATGTCCCTGGTGGCTCAAATGGTAAAGAATCTGCCTGCAATGCGGGAGACCCAGGTTCGATCCCCAGGAGAAGAAAATGGCAACCCACTCCAGTATTTTTTTCTGGAGAATCCCATGGACAGAGGAGCCTGGCTGGCTACAGTCCATGGGGTGACAAAGAATCAAACACAACTGAGCGACTAACACTTTCACTTTCAACTCCATCCTATTCCTTACAGTGGCTGTCCGGCTGAGGTTTTCACTGTGGTTACTGCTTGTTAGTTTCCAAGGTTACCATGGAATTGAAGAGGGAGAGATTGGGTATAAAGCAAGCTAAAATGCCACAGAGCTACTGAGCTTCTTACCAAGGTTGAGCCTTTTTCCTTGAATAAATGCTACCTGTATCAGCCTTTGTTTAATTAATTTCCATAGTTTTCCGAAAGCTGGTTTGGACAATTTTTGCCCATGTTCCATGCCTTGTATGCCTCCATACAATGATGATTTTCAGAGGTCCTTACTCTGCTTTCTTTGCCAGTGATTGCCACATGTGGCTCTTTAGGCTAACTAAAATAAATTCAATCCCTTAGTTGCTCTAGCCATATTTCAGATTCTCAAAAGCCACATGTGACTAGTGGCTACTCCACTGGCCAGCACTGATAGAACATCTCCATCATCTCAGTTTTATTGGACAGTGTGGCTTTAAGGTATTATCTTCATTTTATAGATGAGTAAATTGAAGCTCAAAAATGATTAAGTAAGTTGCTCAAAGTCTCTGAAATTTCAAAGTCCTGGAAGCCTGGCATGTTGCAGTCCATGGGGTTGCAAAGAGTTGGACACGACTCAGCAGCTGAACTGAACTGATGATATTAACCACCAAGCTGTATTTTCTCCCAGTGATTTCCAGCTTTTTCATGTCGGGGAATACATAAAAAATGGTTTTTGTATAGACAACACTGGGGTAAATGGATGTGTACCTACAAGATCATCAGCCCTACTTCTGCTGCCCTTGGCTCTGCACACCCATCCCAGGAACAGGGGAATCAACAGCTCAGCACATTTAAGTGTCACAACATCCTGATCATGAAGTTCTGCAGTACACTGTAACAGTAATTCTCATAGTGTGGTTCCAAAACCAGAAGCATCAATGACGACCTGGGAACATGTTAGAAATGTAAATTCTCTGGAGAGGGAGGTGGGAGGGGGGACCGGGATGGGGAATACATGTAAAAAAAAAAAAAAAAGATACACTATGGTTGTGATAAAAAAAAATAATAAATAAATAAATAAATAAATAAATAAATGTAAATTCTCAGGCCTCATCCAGACCTACTGAATTAGAAATTCTGGGGGTGGGGTCAAGAAGTCCATAGTTTAACAAACCTTCCAGGTGATTGTGATATACATACAAGCTTGAATACTCTGTATAATAAAAATTTCTTCTCTGAATGGTGATAGGAAAATTGGTTGACCATAATGGAACTAAGTAATAATAATAATAAATAGTGTACATATATTATGTGTGTGTGTATATACATCACATATATATATATATAAAATAAATATAAATTTATATATACAGACACAGACATACACACCCAAATATATGAAATATATACATTATTCTCATTTACTGGAAAACCAGTACAAAAATATTGTCTTCTAAATGCCATCTTTTATCCCTCTATTAGGAGATACTGCTATTTATATCTGAGAGAATCAGTTATTTTTTATCTTTTGTTTTGAACTGTTGAATACCTTACGAATTTCTTTAGTTTATGTTCAAACCCTCCCAAGTTAGTGAATACCTACCTTTTATTCAGCTTTATTATAATATTTAGATATGGTGGTTATTAATTTCACTAACAGTACTCAGCGGTAAATAATATGAGCCAGGTTTGATCCCTGGGTCATGAAGATCCCCTGAAGCAGGGCATGGCAACCCACCCTAGGACTCTTGCCTGGAGAATCCCATGGATGGAGAAGCCTGGCAGGCTGCAGTCACAGGGTCACACAGAGCTGGACACAGCTGAAGCAATAAGTGGCAGCCACAGAATTAGTAGGCTGAGTAAAAGCTGAAGTGCTAAAACATAAAACTTCTCTTGTGGTAGCCCCCCTTTAGTGCCTCTTAACTTTTTTAAGACCATTGATTCCTCAGAGAATCTGCTTCTAGAAATGGACAGTCTCACCAGAAAAAAAAATATGCATAGTTAATGTTTTACATAAAGCTTCAGGATACTTTGACTTAATTGCAATAGGATAAGTATTTAGTTAACTTTAGTTATAAGTTCATGTTTTGTGAAATATTGCATATTTGGGGTTTGATTGCTTATGTTTGTTATTTTAATTAACTTATTCCTTCTTTCCTGTCACCCTTACTCTAAGGTGGATACATTGCAAATAGCCTAGCAATCATGACAGATGCACTTCATATGTTAACGGACCTCAGTGCCATCATATTGACCCTGCTTGCTTTGTGGCTGTCTTCAAAATCACCAACCAAAAGATTCACCTTTGGATTTCATCGTTTAGGTAAGTAATGGGGCGTTTCTTTATTTATAAAATTTTATAGTAAAATCACAATGAACTATATAACCTTTGATTAAAGTCTTTCTGGTGATAGCCTATTAGAACAAAGCAAATGAAAATAAACAAATAGGAACACCTCCAAATGCATTATGTGTTATGCATTGGCTTAGGAAATAAAGCTATTCAGATATATTTCTTCAGATATATATCTTCCAGAGTACATTCAGTTCATTCCGCTAAATAGCTTACACATGTAAAATTACATGGTAATCAGGTACTTCGCTGACAGTCCAGTGGTTAGGACTCTGTGCTTCCACTTCAGGGGGCACAGGTTTGATCCCTGATCAGGGAACTAAGATCCCACATGCCATGGCATAGCCAAAAGAAAAAAATTATATGATGATCATTAATCTTCAAATGTTGTTCCCTGTGTCCTGAAGATGTTAACAGAAAAAAAGTTTACCTTCAGTTTATTGAACCAAGCAGAACTATATGTATTTAATTCATCAATGAGTGTTAACTTCTTTCTTTCACTTCAGGCTTTCCAACCAAAGCTACTGTAGTCCAGGTTTGGGGTACTACTGTAATTTATATAACATGCTGCATGGCTCACCTTCACTGTGGCCATTAACTGTAAATACAACAAAGATTCTCTGCTTGACCAAACCTGAGCCATCTCCCAAGCCCATCTGTGTTCTTCCTTGTAAAATCTAGTTTTAGCAAGAACCTTGCCAAGCCAATTTAACAGAAACCCCATTCTCAATATTCGATGGGTTATCCCCAGGTGATGGCTCATCACCCTGGCTTGTTTTCAGCAAGACTTCCTATACCAATCTCAATGGCTTCCTCCAACCTTTAATAAAGTCTTGTTTACTACATTTTAACAAGTGTCATTGAATTTTTTTCTTTAACAATGCACACATATTTTATTTTCCTATTTTGAATAAATATTAATATTCAGTTAAAAGAGGTTAAAATCATACATTGTTATCCACACAGCTCTTGCTTGTTTTTAAATTTTTTACTTATTTTTAAAATACATGTAGAACAGTCACTTGAATTAGTAAATGAAGTGCCATATGACCAATTTTTGCATTTGCTTAGAACCTAAAAATTGACATTTAAGTAGCTTCAGCAAAGCTGGTGTCTTAAAGAATCAAAATTAACATCTTTTGTAGAGACGTTGACACTTTGGGCTAGTATGGTAATCAATATCTCCTCTTCTTTGTTACTTTTTAGCCTAATCTTAACATGTAGGTTTCATATAATTTAATAGCTGAGTCTTCTGGTGTAAAACTTGATGTTGTACATGAATGGCTGTATTCCAAGTAGCTATCCAGGTCATAACTTAGGGAAATTATCTGGCATCCCTGTATCTCAGCATCCTCAGCTGCTGTACAAGAGAGGTAAAGCCCTGAACAAGGTCTTTCTGTTATTTGTTAAGCCAGTGCACAACACAGTGCATTTGGATGTGTTCCTAAAAAACTCCCACTGCTAACTCACACATTATACATCCATTTGTTTACTGATTGCCTTGGGGTTTGTAAACAGCTTCAAAATTATTCTCAAACTTTAATCTTTTGGGGATATAAACTCCTGAAATTTAAATCAGAACTCAAACATAGCATCATGGAATGGGGATTTTTATTTTCTAAAGAGAGTACATTCATTTTAGATTGTAGATCCCTTGGAATTCTAATGAAAACAGTGGAATTCTCCCCTAGAAATGTGCAGTAACATAGAAGGTTCTACAAGTGATAAATTAAGAACACATAATCATGGAAATTCTATTAAATGTCAAAGAAGTATTTAATATTTATTTGGTCATAGATTACAAGCACTATGGAAAGATGAAAGAAAAAAGAACTGACTGGTTCTATTGTATTTCTGTATATTTCTATAGAAAGTCAAATTTTTCCCTCTCCTTAAAAGTACTAGTTCAAGATGGTGGACTAGAAATCATCATTTGAGATGGGAAATACATTTCAATAGGAAATACAGAGTACCGAAACAACAAAGAAAAGCAAATGGCTGGGTAACCAATAAACAGGAAATTTCTGGTAGTCAGAAAGTAGATGGGAGTGGGGTGAAGAAAGAAACAAGCCCAGGAGCCGCAGCCTGGAGTACACTTGGGCAGGACCTGGGTCAGCCTAATGGAACTCCAAAGAAGACTCAGGGACAGAAATGGCAGAAGTGAGAATTAGGGCTTAAAACAAGATTAACTGAATGGCTATAAATGGGAAACTGCTCCTACTAGTCCGTTCACTATGTCCCTACCTTCTTCCCATCCCCACCTCCCTCAGGCAGTCTGCATTTCTCTCCATGTGAACACTAAATAGTTCTTCTAGAAAGAAACTGAGCCAGATGTTTGGAGAAAGCTGAGGTTTTTAGTGTGAATGTTGATACTCCAAAATAAATCTTTTTCATCCTAGAATTCAGGGTTCTGCAGCCTTAGAGTTTGGTTCCCCACATACTCATGCTAAAGTAATACACTTGTCTTAGTCTGCCCTGCTCTATACCCCTTATTCATAACTATCTTAAATAGTTATGTGTTATCCTTCCAGCATTTATTTTTTGCATAGTCCTGTCCTTCTACCCTAAATGTGAACAGACAACCAAGGATCTTTTAGGAAATGAGAAAAATCAGCAGCATGAAAGAAAGTTGAAAAAAAAACTAACAAAAATTTGTCCTACCTGAAAAAGAGGTGACTTAAGAAACAGAGGAAAATGATTTAAATTATCTTATTAATATACTCAGTATAGTAAAACAGTAAAATATTTTGAAAAAAGCATATAGAAAAAGCTCTTTGAAATTGAAATATTACAAAAAAATTTTAAAAAAAATTTTTTTTCAATAGGACTAGAAAATATAATCAAGAAAGTCTTCCAGAAAGAGAAATACTGTATGATAATATTTATATATGAGATCTAAAATATGATATAAATCAACCCATCTATGAAACAAACAGACTCACAGATAGAACAGACTTGTGGTTGCCGAAGGGGATGGGGAGGGTGGGGGCTGGGTAGGGGAGGGACAGAATGGGAGTTTGGGATTAGCAAAGGCAAACTATTATATAATAGGATGAATAAACAAGATTCTACTCTATAGCACAGGGAATGATACTCAATATGCTATGAGAAACTATAATAGAAAAAAATATGAAAAAGAATATATATATATATGTATAATTGAGTCACTTTGCTCTGCAGAAGAAATTTATAAACATTGTAAATCAGCTACAATAAAAATTTTAAACAGTACTAAAAAAGAAAAAAAGTCTCCCAGAATACAGAACAAAAATAAATAAAAACAGGAAAAAAAGTTTAAAACTATAAAAGAATGATCTGGAAAGTCTGAAGTATACTATTAAAAACCTCAGAAAAAGAGACTTAAAAAATAAAAAGAAGTGACTGCTTCAGCATTATAGGGTTTCTTTTTCGGGCTGATGAGCATGTTCTGGAATTAATGGTACTTGTACAACCTGTGCATATACTAAAACCCACTGAATTGTCCTCTTCAAAATTATTAAAGTGGTAAATTTTGTTATTTGGATTTTATCTAAATTTTTTAAGTCATCTAAAAAATAGAAGGAAGAGGATTATTGTGATACAGATAGGTGAGTATTTTCCAGAGCTAAGGAGAGAATCACTCCCTCATATTAGAAGGGCCTTTTGAGATCTTTTTCTTCTTTGTATTCCAAAATCTTACAAGGATATAGATAGATAAGAACGTATTTCACTTATTCTGCTCTTTGAAGTAATGAAAGAAAAACTTATGATGATCTGAGGAGGATTAAAAAGGCACTAAAGGTATGTAGAGTTGAACAAAGCTATTAACCGAAGCAGTGGCTGTCGTCATGTGCTATAACATTCCACAGCTTCACAAGTAATCCAAGTTCTCTAGGGGAAGGTATGTTTACGTTGGATGCCTTTAGAGAGCATGCCTCTAATGACCTCCCAACTACCGAGATTTGGGGATTCAGGTCCTAAAGAACGTTTCGGAAGGAATTCCCCCTAAGAAACTTTTGGTTGGTTACTGTACTGTTGAGTTTTGTTTTGCTTTGATGGCATGGGTGATAGGAGTTGGATTTTTCTTTGTTGATTTACTTTGTATATATGTAAAACTGTCACAGAAGTCAAAAATTAATTTTTAAAAGAAAAGATTTACTCAGAGAAGCCTTGCTTTCATCCTGTCCCCTCCAACCCATCCTTCTGCCCTACTCCTAATTAGCAACCATTCTAATTACATTCTGTCTGTCCTTCCAGCATTTCCTTTTGAAAGTATAAGAAAAAAAAATATGTACGTTCATATGCCACTCCCCGCCACCCTTTCCTATGCAAAGGCAGCATACTAGAGGTGTGTGTCTATGGATAAGAGTTAGATACTAGTAGTATGATACCCTAAATCTATTTTCTTTTTGTCTTCTCATAACACTTTCAGTTCAGTTCAGTTCAGTCGCTCAGTCGTGTCTGACTCTTTGTGACTGAACCGCAGCACGCCAGGCCTCCCTGTCCATCACCAACTCCCAGAGTCCACCCAAACCCATGTCCATTGAGTCGGTGATGCCATCCAACCATCTCATCCTCTGTCATCCCCTTCTCCTCCTGCCCTCAATCTTTCCCAGCATCAGGGTCTTTTCAAATGAGTCAGCTCTTCACATCAGGTGGCCAAAATATTGGAGTTTCAGCTTCAACATCAGTCCTTCCAGTAAACACCCAAGACTGATCTCCTTTAGGATGGACTGGTTGGATCTCCTTGCAGTCCAAGGGACTCTCAAGAGTCTTCTCCAACACCACAGTTCAAAAGCATCAATTCTTCTGCACTCAGCTTTCTTTAAGTCCAACTCTCAACATTCATACATGACCACTGGAAAAACCATAGCCTTGACTAGATGGACCTTTGTTGGCAAACTAATGTCTCTGCTTTTTAATATGCTGTCTAGGTTAGTCATAACTTTCCTTCCAAGGAGCAAGCGTCTTTTAATTTCATGGCTGCAGTG